GTTTTATGGTAAGAAAAAGACTATTGACGAACACATTGTTAGGATACAATATTATGGAATATCACGTAGTATCTCACACATAAACCCTCAGGAGACTTGTGACTACGTTTGAGCCCATAGTAGACCATTATTAAGTAGTACTGTAGTGTTGTTGATAGCAGAACATCAAGTAGGTAAATATGTGTAGTGAAGTACGAACGTTGTTCAGGGCTCACGGTGACGAGGATGATGGTGGAGCTGCCTCTGGTGCCGTGGAACGCAGATTCGCCTACAGTTTACTGGAGAAACTCCTGCAGTACCTCGATTGCGCCGCCATCAACATGAAGCTGTTCAGACCCTCGTCCAACCTCTCGCGACGCAATTCCTTCAAGACCTCCACGAAAGACGTCAAGTTCTTCTCCAAAGTTGTCCTCCCGCTTATGGAGAAATATTTCAGGTAAGTCACTTAAAGTTGCAAGATACCACGCTACTTTTGTTGCTCTTGGGAAAATGTAATTTATATCCAGTTTAAGACTGAGCTGCGAGGGCGATGATCACCAGAATCATTAACAAAATATCAAACATTTGTTGACTTAAAGGAATGAAGAATGAGACACCTGTAAAACATTTGGGAATCTTTATTGAAGAAACGTTTCGACAGGCAGTGGTTACTTCAGTCGAATACAGAGAACATCAGAGGAAGATGAGGTTTGAAATAATCAATCCCTCAGCATTGATTACCTCAAACTCATCATCCTTTGTTGTTTTCTGTACTGGACTGAAGAAGCCACTGGCCGTTGAAGCGTTTCCTAAATAAAGATTCCCAAATGTTGCACAAGTGTCTCATTCTTCAACTTGTCGGTTTTCAAAACCATTTTCATCACACTTTAAGAACTATCTGATTAATCAGAGGTCTTTTTTTACTCCAGATCCTTGTCTCAGCGGCTATAAGAACACGTTTCAAAACGCCTACACATGTGTTATATGAATATAACTATATTTTTTGCTATATAACTTTAACATTGTTGGATTACAGCACTAATCGCAACTACTTCCTGGCGGTGGCTCTGACGACCAACATGGTGGGAGCGGCGTCCCTCAAGGAGAAGGAGATGGTCGCCTCTCTCTTCTGCAAACTTTCCAACCTCATGCGCATTAAGAGCGTCTGCTTCGGCTCCGATACTAAGGTTCAACTTGCAACTTTATGACTTGTTCAGTCAAGTTCATCTCTCCGATACTTGTGCTTCAATAACCTTGTTGGACATAGCTTCATAATATTTGTGAAGTCTTCACATTCATTATTATTACTTTATGCAAACATAAATTCTGGTTTAGCTGTCGTACTCTTTCTTCTGAGCGTTTATATGCAGTGATAATTTACTTAAGAAATCTGCCAGTATTAACATGTTAAGTTATGTAACGCCCATAATTCATTTTCGTTCACTTTATCCAGTTCAGTATTTTCAATTCAATTAGTATGTGTACAAGTAACCATTTACTCAGTTTTGCGTACTTAAGGCCAGTGAAGTTAGGACTGACTAATACACATAACATTACTTTTAGATCACCAAGGTACACAAGTAATGAAACGAGCATTTTTTTTTTAACTTCATCCATCAGTCTTGATAGATCTTACTGTTAATATAAAGAACAAATCCTTACTCTGATTTTGAAATGAGGCTGAGTTTTGTGTAGAAGGGTATTGATGGCAACATTGGGATCTATCACAGACAGTGGATTACCCAAAACACTTACAACGTTTTGTTTACACAATTCGTTACTTTCACGAAAATATGGAATATTGGTTTGTGCAAACACATTATCATCCTCACATTCACTATGCTTCCCATTAAAAGTTGTCATTATAACGCTGATATCCACAATACTTCCCAGTGCTCTCAACGTCTGTGAGACCTCTACATCTAACTCAATATCAGATGGTCTCCTGTTTTGTGTCGTTCCTAAATCAATACACATTAATCTGCGTTCTGTGTTCAAAATATGAAGGGAATGTAATGTACTAGACAATCGTTCATTTATTTTTCAGGTAACAGTAAAATGTCTGCAGGTGATCGTGAGAGCAATTGATGCTAAGACACTGGCTAAGAGTTTGCCGGAGTTTGTGCGCACCTCCATGTTGACCTTCTTCAACAACTCTGCCATCGACCTGGAGCACTGCATCCACTGCCTGCAGGAGGTATGCACAACAACAAATAGGCTTCGGGAGACGAGAGAATGTTAAAAAAGGAAATGAGCTTAAGAATGAGATGGTTTTTAAGAGACGAAGGGGCAGAAGAGAGGAATAAGATGATTCAGGAGTAAGAAATTGAGTTTGTTGCAATTATGAGAAGGGTTCCGAAAATAAAGGAGTGTTCAGGAGGTGTCACGATATCGGAGGTGCAGGTTGGACTGTAGACAGAAAATGGGGCCTAGTAATTATACATTGAAGTGACTAACAAGTAAATTAAATATTTTCAGAGTTAAGGTACATGTCACACGTAGGGTAGTATCTCTTCCAGGCTATACATGACACACTTGTCTCTTCCAGGCTGTACATGACACACTTGCGTCTTCCAGGCTGTACATGACACACTTGTCTCTTCCAGGCTCTACATGACACACTTGTCTCTTCCAGGCTCTACATGACACACTTGTCTCTTCCAGGCTCTACATGACACACTTGTCTCTTCCAGGCTGTAAATGACACACTTGTCTCTTCCAGGCTGTACATGACACTCGTAAGATAGTATCTCCTCCATGTTGTATATGACACACTTAATTATTCTACTATAATGATGATAGAATAATCACGAGAGCTACTACTAACACAATAAATAACTATATAAGGTCCTTATATACAGCTTCTTTAACTGGTGAAGAAGAAACATGTGCAACAGCCACTGGCTGGTGAATCGTCTTGACAACAAGACTTCCCAGGTGTTGTACATGTGTCTTAATCATTAATTTGTCGGTATTGTATACCATTAATGTAATGAACCTTTAATAAACGTCATGAATTACACATAAGTAATAACACGATTGCAAATAAACCACGGAACGGGTGAGGTTTGAACCTATGGCATGTGGGTCTTAAAACTCCAGGCCAGTGTGTAAGCCACTCCAGTGGCTTACACAGTGGCTTACATTCCGAGGTTTGTTTGCTCATAGATGTTTCTATCCATAGCTGGTAGGTATCACCGTGCCATTTGCAGCATTTCTGATGTGTTCTCTTACCACAGGGTAAATACGCTTACATCAGAGGTACACATCTCAAGACATCTGCTTCCCTCAACTACATTCAGACGGTGCTGCTACCGGTGCTCACTTCTCTCTTCGATCATACCGCCGCCTGCGAGTACGGCCAAGACTTGCTCTGTGAGTCCTCAGTCTTTATTTTCTACGCATCCTGCGTAATTGTATTATCTTTTTCCTCATTACTGATGTTTGTTCAAGCAAAGAAATGAAATTCAATCAGGAGTCAAATGTGACATTTGCACTGAGAGCACTACACTATTTTTGTTTAAATCATGACTAACTTTGCTGGGCACAGTGGACGAGATTCAGGTTGCGTGCTACAAGATCCTGGCGGCGCTGTACCAGCTGGGCACCGATCTCACTCTGGACGGTAGCAAGACCTTCATGAAAAAGGAACTAGACCGCCACAGACCTTCAATTGGCAACTGCCTGGGAGCTTTCGCCGCTACCTTCCCTGTGGCATACCTGGAGCCCATGATGAACAAAAATAACCCCTGGAGCATACATAACCGCATCGCTGACCAGTCCCTCGAGGCCCAAGGTCAGTCGTACTACACTGAATCATTCCATAAGATTCTTTCATCTGCTTACCAAGTTTATTACCCTTGAATAGGACACATGTTTAACATCTGGGTATTTTTACTGAAAGACATTTTGCCCGCACAACAAGTTTTATCGGTTTAATACAAAGGCATGTAGATGGAGACTTTTATAGTGGAGCCAGTTGAAGACCTGGTCACATATGGTCAGGGTTCATAGTGGAAGTAGATCAAGACAGTATGTTGAGTCACAGATTTAACAGTGGAGTTGTGGAAGATATTCTACGTACCGAGACGCCATGGTGTTGTTGTGTCAGATACGTGGTAAATGAAATATATGATGCAGTAGCACCATAGACCCTTGATACTGAGAATATCCTTCGTACCTCCACTGATAAATTTCTGACCTGCCTTCTGGGCCCTACCTATTTTCACTTGTGGGCCCCACCAACATGTAACCATGTCCTCAACTGCTGCATCTCTTCGTTTCTTCCTTTAGCTCCAGTATAAATAGCTTTGTCCTCATGCTACCCAAGTGTTGCATATGTGTCTCATTTATCAACTTGGTATAACAACTCTAATGATTTATTACCTGTGTTTACCACTGTTTGTTCTTCCAAACTGTTCAGTCTGTCTCATCAGTCTACTTCATTAACTTGGTAAAGTTACAACAACGTAACGCAATTCAAGGTCACACACTGACTGTCGTTATATTCTGCCAATTTATGCACCTTTGAAGAATGAAAGATACAATGGTTTGATAATGGTCCAAAACGGAATGAAACATCTAAAGTTCCTTCTCCAAATTGTGAGTTAATAGTGAGTTCCACACCTCTCATATTTCACTTCATAACTAATACTTGTGTAGTTCATGCACTCACATTTCACCAACTTGCGCACTTCTTGAAATAACGTAGCTGGTATCCTACGTTAGTTCATTTCAAAGCCCAACTTTATTTAAAGTATACTATTCACAGGATACCGCTCACGATTGTCAACTAACAAATAGGTACCTATTTATTGCTAGGTGCACAGGGACAGTAGATTCAAGGAGACTGGTCTGTGTCTGGCCTCACCTGGGCATCTCATCCGCAGTGTCCGGATCACCTTGCTAACCCACACATCATGTGCTACACTTTATTAATATAATCGTGGGTTAATGGCAACTCAGATAATTTATTTCACTAGGTAAACTTTAAATACATTAATTGGAAACAAAACTAAAAGTTGGTCCGTTCTGGACGTCGCGCGTGTAAAATTTATTAACAAATACAATAACTTTTACCTTTCAGTAACGTCAGATGATTTATTTTTTTGACTGCTTTGACACCACGCCGCCATCGTGTTCTTCCTTTGAACAGAGATCATCGTCAAAATGGAGACGGCGATGCCCACACTGGAGACCGTGTTGAAGCAAGTGGAGAAGTTTGTTGACGAGGAGTCCAAGCACACAGACCAGCCGCACATCATAGACGTGCTGCTGCCCATGCTGTGCTCTTACCTTCCTTTCTGGTGGAACCAAGGCCCTGACAACGTCAACCCATCTGAGGGGTGAGTTGTAGTGATCACACTTCAGATGAGCATGCAAAACTATCGTGAGAATAACTAAGTAAGGAGTGCTGGGGATCATTTGTGGGACCTCAAACAAGGTCACCACCGTAAATAATCTATCATCGAAGGTGCTAATCTTATGAACAAATCTTGCCTGTCTCCAGGTTTGTGAAGGTCCCAGCTGTTGCCCAGATATATAAAAAATGTTACACTTGTTAATTCAGTTAAGAGTAACGAGATTTGTAATGTTTTTCCTTCTTATAACCGGAGGGAACAAAATTGACTTATAAACATTCTGTCATGTATGTACACTCCCCAAAAAGTGTGTGACTTAAAGAAGTAAATATGTGTGTAAAGACATTTTTTTCTGCATAAAACCCCGTTGGTGTAATGCCAAAATCTACGCACTTCTGTAATGCTTTTAGAAACATAACCATTTATGATATTTTAAAAATTCTATGTTAATAGCCAGATTAGCCACTTGTACCTTGGATTTAGAGAGCCAGTAGCATGGCAGGTACTAATAAACATAAGAACATAAGAAAGAAGGAACACTGCAGCAGGCCTACTGGCCCATGCGAGGCAGGTCCAATAAAGACATGCACGTAGTAATTAGAAACATTATTAAATACAACGTTTCGCCTGCATAGCAGGCTTTCAAGTCTGACTTTAATATGCCTTTTGTGAAGGCGAAACATTGTCTTAATCAATTTTCCAGTTGCTGCTTGTGTGTCTGTATCACCTACAATTTGTTGGTATTCCCTCGTTATCTACTATAACAATGGTGATGAAAAAGACACATGTACAACACTTGCTGCACATATGTCTTAATCGTCAACTGGTGATGTTTGGCAGGAACCACGTGTCGATGGTCACCAGCGAACACATGAACCAGCTGCTGCGACTGGTGCTGAGGTTGATCATGTACAACGTGGGAGTGGAGAACGCACCCTGGATGACCCGCATCGCTGGCTACACCCAGCAGATCATCATCAACTCCAGCGAAGAGCTCCTCAGAGACTCTTACCTGCCCTTGGCTGACCGTGTCCACAAGCGCACTGAGTACATGTTCAACAAGGAAGAAAACCTCAGGAGCTTCCTTAAGTCAACCACTGAGGATACTAGCCAGGTGGGTTATCATACCTCACTGAAGATACTAGCCAGGTGGGTGAGCATACATCACAGAGGATACTAGCTAGGTGGGTGAGCATACCTCACAGAGGATACTAGCTAGGTGGGTCAGCATGCCTCACAGAAGATACTAGCCAGGTGAGTTAGCATACCTCACAGTGGATACTAGCCAGGTGGACTAGCATGCCTCACTAAGAATACTAGCCAGGTGGGCTAGTATGCCTCACTAAGAATACTAGCCAGGCAGGCTAGCATGCCTCACTAAAAATACTAGCCAGGTGGGTTATCGTATCTCAGAGGATACTAGCCAGGTGGGTTATCGTACTTCACAGAGGATACTAGCCAGGTGGGTTATCGTACTTCACAGAGGATATTAGCCAAGGAGGTTATCGTACTTCACAGAGGATACAAGCCAGGTGGGTTATCGTACTTCACAGAGGATACCAGCCAGGTGGGTTATCGTACTTCACAAAGGATACTAGCCAGGTGGGTTATCATACTTCACAAAGGATACTAGCCAGGTGAGTTATCGTACTTCACAGAAGATACTAGCCAGGTGGTTTATCATACCTCATAGATTGTATAGCCAGGTGGCTGCTAGGGAGATGCCAGGCTACGAGATTAGCAAGTCTCAGGATAGAGCCTTCACCACTCCTTGCCCTGAATTACTCACATGTGGTTTAGCCCTTCATATTTATTAAATTTCTCTTTTTCTGGCCGAGTGTCAAGTTACTGACGCACTCTCAGCACAAGAACCACGATGTTGATTTCCTGTTAACAGTAAATGTTATTACTGTTGTGTTAAAATCGAGGAGTGTAGTAATGGCTGTGTTATGCCTGACAGGTGGAGGGTCAGCTGCAGGAGGAGTGGCAGCTGCTGACGCGAGATATATACGCCTTCTATCCCTTGCTCATCAAGTACGTGGACCAGCAGAGGAACTACTGGCTCAAGAATGATGTCCCAGAGGCCGAGGATGTCTACAACCGCGTAGCTCAGATCTTCCACATCTGGTCCAACTCACAGGTAATAATGCAAGCTTGAATAATACATCTTCTGTACATGATTGGTATACATTTCCGACAATTTGAAGAATTAGACACATGTACAATATCTGCCAATACAAATTCAAGGACATAACGAGAAGACTGTAGAACTATATAAAAAAGACGAGGTAATCAGTCAAGACGAGATATATAGTTCTGCAGTCTTGCAGGGATTACCCCTACATTTGTATTGATAAAGCCACTGGATGGCGAAATATCTACAAATAAAGATACCCAGATGTTACACATGTGTCTAATTCACTGATATCTCTTGTACATCTGTGTTAAGTTTCCTACATGAATTCATTATGGCACGCCTAGTTACCCTGATGAACGTCAGACAGCTGGTGTGATATTCCGTTAAGTGTTTGTCAGTAGGATGGTGTTGCTGATCATAGGGAAGCAGACACACTCAACGAATATAGGGAATTCACCGTTAAAAAAAGTTTGGAAATAGATCACTGCAACAACTGATTTACAGTGGAAAAACCCCCCCAAAATTTTTTTAAGTTTTCTTCCGTAAGAGATTCACTTTTTAATTTCAGCAGCATTACTTTCTTAAATGTTTAAGCACTCAGAGCGTCTTCATACTGTAAATAATACGTTTCAGCAGCTATAAATCTTCAACTGCTTTCACTGGAACAGTGTATACTGCTTATCATCTCCAGTACTTCCGTCGTGAGGACAGTGACACTATATATATACTGACTACTTCCTTGTCATCTCCAGTACTTCCGTCGAGAAGAGACCAACTTCATCAGCCAGAACGAGATCGACAACATGACGCTGATTATGCCTTCAGCATCGAGCCGTAACCGCGTTACTACAGCTCCTGACGCCGCAGGAGGCGGCAAAGTTAAGGTATGGGGCACCACCCAGCACTTACTGTTTCTTCAGTACATGACCTTCATCGTTAAGTCTGAGTAGCCTAATCCTCCTCCTCTTTCTAGTCAGGATAACCTCTCTAACAGTCACTTCTTAAAATTAGACACACATTGATAACCACATTTCGCTCTGTGCAGAGCTTAGTGTAATCATAGAGCATGACTTAATAAAGCTCTACAGAGAGCGGAACGTTCTCCCATTGAAAGTTACTGTCGGTAGTACGATAATTAAGATGAATTTACTCTGCGTAAGTTCTTTATTATAAGCATATCATCTTACCTCATGCAGCACTTAGATTCCTAGTTAAAAAATGTTCCTCGGGGTTATTTGTAAGATTAACTTTGTTCAAGAATTTAACTATGGAAGATTAGTTGTGAATTTTACAATTGTAATCAGAGATGACTAGGCTTCTTCTAGCAGATAAAATCGCTGCATAAGACGACAGAGCTGCTGTTGATGCGGCTTCCAGAATTTACCGACCTCTCACATCTATCTTAACCTTCTCCTCACATCTTCCTTGACCCCTTTCCCCCCTCACACCTTCCTTGATCCCTTCCTCCCTCACACCTTCCTTGACCCATCACATCCCAGTCAGACCAGACACCCCAGTAACACCACAGACACACCTCAATCACACAGACACACACCCCAATCAGGCCACAGACACACCCCAGTCAGACCACAGACACACCCCAGTCAGACCACAGACACACCCCAGTCAGACCACAGACACACCCGTCAGACCAAAGACATAACCCAGCCAGTCCTGGTATAATCCTTTAACTTAACAGTAATATACACCCTTCTCCCAGGCATCACCGTGGTGGCAGCAAGTATTGTTGAAGGTATGATGTTATGTTCGTAATATATGTAAAACTTGTTGCGTTGGCAGTTTATATAAAGTATTGTGGTGGGTAATTTATATGAACCATTTTAACATGCTGAAAGAGGGTCACACTCATATCTATGCCACCTTCAGACGTCATTACTATGCAACTAAACGAAGAATTTGGACTCTTGCAAGATCATTGTCTGCAACCACCATCTCTTTTATTATTGTTATTATTATTATGCAGAAAATTCGGAGTGTGGAAATTAGGAAAAGGTGTGGAGTTAATAAAAGTATTAGTCAGAGGGCAGAAGAGGGGTTGTTGAGGTGGTTTGGTCATTTAGAGAGAATGGATCAAAGTAGAATGACATGGAAAGCATATAAATCTATAGGGGAAGGAAGGCGAGGTTGGGGTCGTCCTCGAAAGGGTTGGAGAGATGGGGTAAAGGACGTTTTGTGGGCAAGGGGCTTGGACTTCCAGCAAGCGTGCGTGAGCGTGTTAGATAGGAGTGAATGGAGATGAATGGTACTTGGGACCTGACGATCTGTTGGAGTGTGAGCAGGGTAATATTTAGTGAAGGGATTCAGGGAAACCGGTTATTTTCATATAGTCGGACTTGAGTCCTGGAAATGGGAAGTACAATGCCTGCACTTTAAAGGAGGGGTTTGGGATATTGGGAGTTTGGAGGGATATGTTGTGTATCTTTATACGTATATGCTTCTAAACTGTTGTATTCTGAGCACCTCTGCAAAAACAGTGATTATGTGTGAGTGTGGTGAAAGTGTTGAATGATGATGAAAGCATTTTCTTTTTTGGGATTTTCTTTCTTTTTTGGGTCACCCTGCCTCGGTGGGAGACGGCCAACTTGTTGAAAAAAAAATATTATTATTATTAGTAGTAGTAGTAGTAGTAGTACTGTAAATCCTCGTAAGGTTTACTTGTACACCTGCGTACAAACATGAACACCTTCATACGTACAAAGCTCATAACTTATTAATCATACGTTTCATGCACTTGTCAGATTTCTTTAATTTGTAACCACATTTATGTTGATGCTGTTAAAGCAAAAATGTTTTGCTAGTAATAAAAAAAACAATTGAGCTAGGAGAAACTGCTTGCTGGATCCCGCTCATACAAACATTCTCTTGTCTTATCGTTGAAAGCAAAGTGGACCTCAGGTGATGGCAGTATGTATATAACCTCCTCTTTGTATATTTGCTCAACACTTTCAGTGTCCCCATTTTTAGCATATATTTGTCCCCTTTTTCTACATATATTTGTCCCCTTTTTCTACATATATTTGTCCCCTTTTTCTACATATATTTGTCCCCTTTTCTACATCTATTTATAAAGCTACAACTGGTTCACACTTGTCTAGAGTTTTTTTTTTTTCGAAAATGCTCCTCTTCATATACCTAAACGGAGATACACTCAGTGGCCACTGTATTAGGTACACCTGTACACCTGCGCGTTAATGTAAATATATAATGAACCATTCACATAGCAGTACCTCACTGCCTAAGAGCACGCAGACGTGATCAAGAGGTTCAGTTGTTTTTCAGACTATCAGAATGGGGAAGAAATGTGATCTCAGTGACTTGACCGTTGAGTAATTGTTGGTGCCAGACAGACTGGGTGTTTTGAGTATCTCAAACTGCTGATCTCCTGGGATTTTTACGTAGAGTTTACAGAGAATAGTGTGAAAAATACAAAACATCCAGTGAGCGGCAGTTTTGTAGGCCTTCTTAATGAGAGAGTTCAGAGGGGAATGGCCAGACTGGTTTAAGCTGACAGGAGGGCGACAGTAACACAGATAACTACGTATTACAAGAATGGTATACAGAAGAACATCTCTAAACGCACAGCACATCAAACCTTGAAGTGGATGGGATACAGCAGAAGAAGACCACACCGGGTCCCACTTCTGTCAGCTAAGAACGGTAAAATGAGCCCACAGTGGGCACAGGCTTAACAAAATTTGACAGTTGAAGATTGGAAAAATGTCACCTAGTTTGACGAATTTCTGTTACGACATGCAGATGGTAGGGTCAGAATTTGACGTAAACATGAATCTATGGACACATCCTGCCTTGTGTCAGCGGTTCAGGGTGACATGAGTATTGTTGCTGGCCATGTGCATCTCTTTATGGCCACAGGATAAGGCCAGCAGGATAAGGTACTATATCACAGAGCACATGTCATCTCAGGCTGGTTCCACGAACATAACAATGAGTTGAGTGTGCTCCAGTGGTCTTAACAGTCATCGGATCTCAATCCATTAGAGCACCTCTGGGATGTGGTGGAACGGGAGATTCACAGCATCAATGTGCAACCGACAACAACCGACAAATCTACAGCAACTACGTGATGTTATCGTGTCACAGTGGACCAGGATCTCAAAGGAATGTTTCCAGCACTTTGCTGAATCCAGGCCATGAAGAATTCAGGCTGTTCAGGGGAGAAAGAGGGGCCTACCCAGTACTAGAAGCGTGTGCCTGATAAAATGGCCACTGAGTGTATTTTCTTTGTGAATAAAAGCAAAATGAAAATATATCCACCTTTCTGTTGTTTTCAAGTGTTTGTTTTAAAGGTGTAAACAACATAAATACAATTTTGCAAATATTAGCCAGGCAAAGTTAATGTTAATTAAGTGCATGTAGTCTGTGATTGTTAATGTACACGTTGCTGATTGTTAGTGTACAGTTGCTGATTGTTAGTGTACAGTTGCTGATTGTTAGTGTACAGTTGCTGATTGTTAGTGTACAGCTGCTGATTGTTAGTGTACAGTTGCTGATTGTTAGTGTACAGTTGCTGATTGTTAGCATACAGCTGCTGAATGTTAGTGTACAGTTGCTGATTGTAGTGTGCAGTTGCTGATTGTTAATGTACAGCTACTGATTGTTAGCATACAGCTGCTAAATGTTAGTGTACAGTTGATGATGTTAGTGTACAGTTGCTGATTGTTAATGTACAGCTACTGATTGTTAGTGTACAGCTGCTGATTGTTAGTGTACAGTTGCTGATTGTAGTGCACAGTTGCTGATTGTTAATGTACAGCTACTGATTGTTAGTGTACAGCTGCTGATTGTTAGTGTACAGTTGATGATTGTTAGTGTACAGTTGCTGATTGTTAGTGTACAGTTGATGATTGTTAGTGTACAGCTGCTGATTGTTAGTGTACAGTTGCTGTTTTAGTATACAGTAGTTGGTGATTGTTAGTGTACAGTAGTTGCTGATTGTTAGTGTACATTAGTTGGTGGTTGTTAGTGTACAGTAGTTGCTGGTTGTTAGTGTACAGTAGTTGCTGGTTGTTAGTGTACAGTAGTTGCTGGTTGTTAGTGTACAGTAGTTGCTGGTTGTTAGTGTACAGTAGTTGCTGGTTGTTAGTGTACAGTAGTTGCTGGTTGTTAGTGTACAGTAGTTGCTGGTTGTTAGTGTACAGTAGTTGCTGGTTGTTAGTGTACAGTAGTTGCTGGTTGTTAATGTACAGTAGTTGCTGGTTCTTAGTGTACAGTAGTTGCTGGTTGTTAGTGTACAGTAGTTGCTGGTTGTTAATGTACAGTAGTTGCTGGTTGTTAGTGTACAGTAGTTGCTGGTTGTTAGTGTACAGTAGTTGCTGGTTGTTAGTGTACAGTAGTTGCTGGTTGTCTGTGTACAGTAGTTGCTGGTTGTTAGTGTACAGTAGTTGCTGGTTGTGTACAGTGGCTCTTATTTGTGTATATTAGTTGCTAACTGTGTACAGTATTTGCTGATTGTGTGCAGTAGCTGCCGAGTGCTACTGATATTAAGACGGTCAGCAGGTCTTGTCATCAACAGTTTGACTGTCAGCAGGTCTTGTCATCAACAGTGTGACTGTCAGTAGGTCTTGTCATCAACAGTGTGACTGTCAGTAGGTCTTGTCATCAACAGTGTGACTGTCAGTAGGTCTTGTCATCAACAGTTTGACTGTCAGTAGGTCTTGTCATCAACAGTGTGACTGTCAGCAGGTCTTGTCATCAACAGTGTGACTGTCAGCAGGTCTTGTCATCAACAGTGTGACTGTCAGTAGGTCTTGTCATCAACAGTTTGACTGTCAGCAGGTCTTGTCATCAACAGTGTGACTGTCAGCAGGTCTCGTCATCAACAGTGGGACTGTTAGCAGGTCTCGTCATCAACAGTGGGACTGTCAGCAGGTCTTGTCATCAACAGTTTGACTGTCAGCAGGTCTTGTCATCAACAGTGTGACTGTCATCAGGTCTTGTCATCAACAATGTAACTGTCAGCAGGTCTTGTCATCAACAGTGTGACTGTCATCAGGTCTTGTCATCAACAATGTAACTGTCAGCAGGTCTTGTCATCAACAGTGTGACTGTCAGCAGGTTTTGTCATCAATACTATGACTGTCAGCAGGTCTTGTCATCAACAGTGTGACTGTCAGCAGGTCTTGTCATCAACAGGGTGATTGTCAGCAGGTCTTGTCATCAAAAGTGTGACTGTCAGCACGTCATGTCATCAACAGTGTGATTGTCAGCAGGTCTTGTCATCAACAGTTTGACTGTCAGCAGGTCTTGTCATCAACAGTGTGACTGTCATCAGGTCTTGTCATCAACAGTGACTGTCAGCAGGTCTTGTCATCAACAGTGTGACTGTCAGCAGGTCTTGTCATCAATACTGTGACTGTCAGCAGGTCTTGTCATCAACAGTGTGACTGTCAGCAGATCTTGTCATCAACAGTGTAACTGTCAGCAGGTCTTGTCATCAAAAGTGTGACTGTCAGCACGTCTTGTCATCAACAATGTGATTGTCAGTAGGTCTTGTCATCAACGGTGTGACTGTCAGCAGGTCTTGTCATCAAAAGTGTGACTGTCAGCACGTCTTGTCATCAACAGTGTGATTGTCAGTAGGTCTTGTCATCAGCAGTGTGACTGTCAGCAGGTCTTGTCATCAACAGTGTGACTGTCAGTAGGTCTTGTCATCAACAGTGTGAATGTCAGTAGATCTTGTTATCAGCAGTGTGACTGTCAGCAGGTCTTGTCATCAGCAGTGTGACTGTCAGTAGTTCTTGTCATCAACAGTATGACTGTCAGCAGGTCTTGTCATCAACAGTGTGACTGTCAGTAGATCTTGTCATCAACAGTGTGACTGTCAGTAGGTTTTGTCATCAACATTGTGACTGTCACCAGGTCTTGTCATAAACAGTGTGACTGTCAGCAGGTCTTGTCATCAGCAGTGTGACTGTCAGCAGGTCTTGTCATCAGCAGTGTGACTGTCAGCAGGTCTTGTCATCAACAGTGTGACTGTCAGTAGGTCTTTTCATCAACAGTGTGACTGTCAGCAGGTCTTGTCATCAGCAATGTGACTGTCAGTAGTTCTTGTCATCAACAGTGTGGCTGTCAGCAGGTCTTGTCATCAACAGTGTGACTTTCAGTAGTTCTTGTCATCAGCAGTGTGACTGTCAGTAGGTCTTGTCATCAACATTGTGACTGTCAGCAGGTCGTGTCATCAACAGTGTGACTGTCAGTAGGTCTTGTCATCAGCAGTGTGACTGTTAGTAGGTCTTGTCATCAGCAGTGTGACTGTCAGTGGGTCTTGTCATCAACAGTGGGACTGTCAGTAGGTCTTGTCATCAACAGTATGACTGTCAGCAGGTCTTGTCATCAACAGTATGACTGTCAGTAGGTCTTGTCATCAACAGTATGACTGTCAGCAGGTCTTGTCATCAACAGTGTGACTGTCAGTAAGTCTTGTCATCAGCCGTGTGACTGTCAGTGGGTCTTGTCATCAACAGTGTGACTTTGTTGCTGTTAGCAAAGTTGAAACTGCGAGTCACCTGATGCGTTTTCTGTCTGTGTGGACGATGACTCTTCTCAGTAGAGCTAAGTACCTGGTATAGGTGATCTCAGCAGTGCTAGTGGACACCTCACTGGATGACGAGTGATGCCAGCAGCACTGAGTGCCTTTTCTGTGTGGTCTTAGCAGTGCCCTGGGCACCTTATTATATGTGTGATCTCAGCAGTGTTGAGTACCTAAGTGTGTGTATGATTTCAGCCTCTTGTCGAATATCGTTCGTACTGAGGCCACCGCCTGTGATTCATTAGTTTGTTTACTCTGTTTGATGTAAGCACTGTTTGAATTTTTTCCTGCATCCATATATAAAAATTTTACCTACACAGTTATGCTGAAGAAGCTGTGGATGCATATTTTGCAAAACATAATGTTGTTACGTTCACCCTGGAAATGTTTCTATACGAGCGTATATTGCAATCAAGTGTTGTCTGTGCCTGAAGTCACCTACCAGAGGGATGGTGCCAACACTGTCTCTGCTGCTAAGCATTTGCTTAAGTTTATGTTCTACTGTGGTTTTATTTTATTGATTTTTAAGCATTCTTGTTTTGCCTAGTTGTTGCTTGAGACTCACGGGTCTTGTTATGCATGCATCACGCTGGCTTGTCCTTGTCTCTTAAGTCTGCCGATGGCTATAAAAAGAGTGGAGCGAGCACATATCCCTGCTGTGAAAAGCGAGGCTCGCTGTCTCAACACATTTGTATTCAAATATATACCATTCTAGTAAGAAAAATGCTTCACAAAATCAAGATATAATTATTTATGTGGAAATATCCATTCTACCTGCTACATAACTCATAGAATTTAACATTCATGTACTCAAAGTGGAGCACACATAATTATCTCATGGAAACACATTGTGTCATAACACTCCTTAATGATAAAAGGGCGAGTCAGCCAGGAGCTTTGACTCGACCTCTTAACTACATATGGGTGAGTACAGGACTGTACCAGACCTAACGAGTACAATCTCAGAGGAACGAAAGGACGCAAACAGAAATATATGCAAAACCTGATGAATATATTTTAATTTTCTGCTGCTATTGTTGATGTTTTGTTTCTAATCAAACATTTTTTTACTCTGGTTGGGGGTTCTCAGGGAATGTATGAAGAAAACTAAATGTTGCAAGGATGCTGAACGTATTTTCACGATACATAATGATAGTACCAGAGAGAAGTGAATAGAAAAAAAAGGAAATCATGGGGAATTATCAAGGCAGACAATACATAAAGCGAAGGGCTAAGGCAGCAACCCTCCGGAGGGAAAAATAATCCCTTAGGGAAATAATCCGTGTGGATGGTATAAAAGAATAAGTAAAAGTATCTTGAGTGTAGACGGGTTACCCTGTTGTAGACTGGGGAGACCCTTCATATTGTAGACTGGGGATACCCTATTGTAGACTGGGGGGTAGAGTGGGGATACCATATTTACACTAGATATGTTTGGAGAATGCAGAATGTGCTAGATGTCTGGAGAGTGACAGAACCAGTGCCTTTTTAGAAAGGCAAAGGTGTTACATTTTTTAGAAAAGCCAATATAATTATTTTATAGAGAGACAAAGTTACTTTTTAGAAATGCAAAAAAAAAAAAAAAACTTTAAGCAAAGCAAATGTGGTATCAAGTTTTAGATAAGCAAAGATAAGTATCTTTACAAAAGGGCAAAGTCAGTACCTTTCTTAAGAAAGGCAGAAGTTCCATTATTTCAGAAAGGCATACGTAGTACCTTTCTGGAAAGGCAAAGATAGTAAGAAGAAATGCGAAAGTCATGAACAAGGTAGATTATTGGGAGAAAATGAACATATTAAGAAACAGGGGAACTTACGCGTCCCTTAAGGCTTCCTCTGCACCAAGCAACTGTCATCCACGCTTGTAGGCAATACTTGCAATATGACAAAATAAAAGATGATCGGAAAGAAGTGGACAAAATATAATTCATCTCAGAACAAATTATCGACTGTTGTACACGACGGATGTTGTAGTTAGGTGAGAAGTGTGGGTTTTCTAATGTTAAAAAATAATGAAAGACCAGAAAGAAATGAACTGAGACATTTTGATCATCTAGGATTTACCTAGCCTGTCCACCGGCAGCCACACTCCCCTTCTTAGGTTCGCATGACAACACTCTTTCTGTTTAATGAATGCATTAAAATTCCATTTTCCATACCTTTCAACACTTCTAGGAGTTCCTACAGAATATATCCCCTGTTCGTTAAAATCCGCATCAGTGTTTTGAAATTAAAATTCCCTAATTATACACTAAGTTCCAGCCTGTGATTCATGTTTCTCAATACTGTTTACAGAAGAAGAAGAAGCGAACAGGCGGCAAGAAGGCGAGCAAAGAGAAGGAGCTCGCATCATCCCTCATGGTTGCCTGTCTCAAGCGGCTGCTGCCCGTCGGCCTCAACCTATTCGCTGGCAGGCAACAAGAACTAGTGCAGCACTGCAAAGAAAAATTCCTCGCGGTCAGTATAGAGAGTTTGTTGTTCAGGTTGGACACTTTACATGTTATAATATTAATACCTTAGGTCTTAATTTTATGTTCATTTAGTAGTCCTGCTAAAATGCCTCTAGCAAATGCAGAAGACTCGCTGATAACGGGTTGTGACCAGGTTGTAATTGGGTGAGATCACTTAAAGAGAAGTGACTGGATTTCTTTCTCATTCTTTACACATGTAAAAGCATCCCAAGCAATCGCCCTCATAGTGAGATTTATCAGACAGAAGCCTCAACCTTCACTGACGTAAACAACTTGGTCGTGGAACCTTTCAGTCCCAACACCATTACCACAGTTCTCGAGTATCATCTGAATGTTCTGCGGTGAATGAAACAGATGACGGATGATATAGATATCTATAATTATTTGTTCATTTATCATTCAGTAAAAAATTGGTCAGTAGTGGAGCCTGTTACAATTGACGGACTGAGAACAAAATTTCGTATTTTCCTTTTAAATTGTATATGTGTAGGGGCAGGCACAGTAACCTCACACCTCTGGTGCTGGCTGTTAGGCTCCACTGTAATTCTTCCTCCTCATAGTACTGTTATTTTCACGAGCGTGAAATTCCACTTTGTCTTCTACTTAATTAAAAAGCGCCTCATCCTTCCCAGGCTAACCTATATCTTGTGCAGACCTTCGTTCGACAGTAAGGGAATGTGGCAAGGATCCCCCCCCAAAAAAGAATCCCAGTTAGATCAAGTAATGCACCCAATTTGATTTTGGAATGACAATTATGTATCCATATTCCATAACTTACAGCCCTAGCTTCTTGCCTGTCTTGAGCGTACTGGCAAGGAAGAACCCTCCAAGAGCATGTGAGGAATTTTGGGAATATTTATTATTACAAGTTTATTGAAAGACCCTGGCAAGATAATACTTTCGCAGTATTTTCCCTTGCGTCAGCTTCCCCAGAAATTGTGAAAACAGTATCAAAGGCTCGCCTTGACAGCTGTTTTTGTTCGCTGTTTTTTGGTGGCGTCTAATAATGACACAGCTTCCTTCAACTACGGCACTTCCTCGTGCTGGAATTTTACATTGTCCATCCGTAATTTCTCTCTGTGTATTATACATATTAATTCTCAGGTTCTTGGTATTCTTGTATATCTTTCTTTCCCTTATACTCTGCGAATATAAGTGTATATGTGGCAACATATTGGCAAAACATGGCCTATAGCATCTCCTTTTATGTAGATGTGAGGAAAGGAATGCAAGACACATTCCACTACCCATCACAAAAGGGAACTCAACTATGCACACGTAATAGCAGTCAAACACATTCTGATATAGTCCCAATTATTCCGTGGAAAGATATAAAGAGGCATCTTGTGGTGCTATTTTCAAGTGTACCCAGTAGACCATCAAGCACAGGGCTTCACCTATCATTCCAGCTCATTTACAGCAGATACGACGACCTCTCTTGTTAGGAAAACTGCATTCTCAAGTTCCTCCTGAATAAGCTGTTGCGAGAGGTTAGTTAGGAGAGTGAAGGATCTCAAGGTGATCACTACTGCTCCAGTGCCTCAGTTAAAAGATGAAATGCTTTCTTCTTCCTGTGTACAAAATCTACCTCTGCCTGGCTGTATGTAGCTCCAATGCGTTACACATTACACTCCCTGATGATGACAATACTGTACTCGAGAGCCCTTGCAAAACTTGCTTTTATATAAATATATATTATTTATATATTTATATATAATTTTATTTTATATATATTAATATATATATTTTTTAATATATTTTTATATATATATTGTTCCCCGAATATGTAAAACGGTCAATTAGCAAAAAACTCATTTAAAATTAGTCTTTCAAAAATTTTTCTTTTCGTTTAAAGTTATTTTTCCCATTAAGTTAAGAAAAAAAATTTATAATTTTGCACCAAAAGAATTTAAAAAAACTTACCAAACCTTATTAACAAAAAAATTTATTTTACCCAAACCCCAACTAAAATATATTTTAGTTTTTAAAAAATTTTAAAATATAAAAAACACAGTGGTATATTTTTTTCGTTGGTTCGAATTTTTTTTGGCAAATTATTGATACACAAATTTTCCCGTCTTATATGGGAGATAAACGTGTTTTAAAAACCCAAAATGCAATTTCTGCCTATTGGCACGATATATTATATATATTTTATATATATATTTTTTATATATATATTTTTATAAATTTTTTAATATATATAGTCCTTGAAATGTGAAAAAGACGGAAAGAGCTTAAAATTTTGTTTTTTTTTCCGGGTTCTACCACACACAACACCAACAAACACCACAAAAACAAATTTATATATATATTATATTTATATATATATTTATATTATATATATATAATATTTATATATATAATATTATATAAAATATTATATTATATATATTATATATATATATTTTTATTATAATTATATATTATTATATATATATTAATATATTTATATGGGGATTTTTAATGGGGAGGAATAAATGGGTTTGGTCGGGGGTTTTCAAATGAGTTGGCTAAAAGGAGTAGCGAAATGTTAAAGGATAAGCTAGGGGAGGAAAAGGGGGATACAAATGTATAAATTAAAGGGATTATGTGGAGGTAAAATAAAATTGGTGTGAAAAGTGGGTTATGTAGTGTGTTTGCACCTGGAGAAGAGAGAAGTGTAGAGGAGAGCGGAGTTTTGGGGAAATTGAGTGAATGGTGGGGGTTTTGAATCAAGTGTGAGAGAAAGGTGGTTGGGGTTTTAAATGTAAATGGGTAAAAATGTTTGGAGGAAGTAGTAGTAAATTTGGGGTGCCAGGGGAAAATGAAAATGGGAGCTTTAATTGAGCTTGTGTAAAAAGAATTTGGAAAAAGTAATACATTTTTTTATGAAAAGGGTAAAAAAAACAAGGTATGTTGTAGCACGAAATTGAAAGTGTTGTTAGATTAGGTTTTTGGTGGAAAAAAGGTTGTTGGGTAGGCCCCCGGGATTACATGTTTATGAGGGGAAAATGATTATGGATCTTATTTAGTTGTAGCTACAGTAGAGTAAGAGGTTGAGGGGGGAAAAGGGGAAAAGGTGGAAACAAAAGTAAGAGGGAGGGAAAGTGTATAAAAACAAAGGGGAGGGGGAAGTTGGGGTTGAGATATAAGCGCTATTGGCAGAAAAGGGGGGGCTGGGCAAGTGGTAGGGGGGGGGGGGGGGTTGAAGGGGGTTGGAAAATATTTTTAAAAATGCAGATTAGAATGGAAAAATCCGGAGTTGAGCCCCCCACGTGGGAGAAGACGTGTCGTTCTCCCTTTCAGCAGAACTCTGAAACACTGTTGCTCGAGAATTTACTTGGGTTATCGAGGTTCTTCACCAGAGTTGAGAGGAGACTTGTTTGCAGTCACTTCGGCCCCTCCATAAAGAGGGTAAGGGGTGACTTGCTTGCTTGTTAAACCCCTCTCATCCCCCCCCATCCTTCCCTCCCCCCCTCCCCCAACATCAACGGGGGCCCCACACATTAACAACTACAACATTGCTACCCTTTTGACTGTCCTATTTCTTCTTTTTCGGAACTTCGCTTTGGCGAGTTAACCAAGGCTTTTTTGACCACTGGTGCCCGTGGGGTTTTTTTAAAAATCAGCCGATTTTTTCCCTTTGGGGCCCTTTCCCCCATATCGAGGGTAGGTATTTTAGGGGTGCCTTCTAAGTCAGCTAAAATAGGTGTTAGGCTAACTTTAAAGGAAAATTCCTTTTTGTTAAGCAACTCCTCTCCCAGATGTCCTTCCCCAGGCATCATGGCGAGGTTTCGTGTAAGATTACGCATTGAGGGAAATCAAATGTATGAAAACTTTCTCAAAGTTTTTGCTCCAACTAACTTTGCCCCAGTGGATTTTTTTCAAACCCCCTGGAGCAGTACTTCTCCTCTCTTCGGAAGAGGTTACTTCAATCTAAAGCATGTGTCGGGGATAAAATGAAGACTTCTGGTGTTATCCAGTTGCCCTGACAGCTATCAAGCTCGGGGACTGGGTTTGTGGCCGAATCAACAGTTTTTGAAAACAGCACTTTTAAATGAAATTTGTTGAAACTTAAATACTGAGAATTTGCCCTTTAGGGTGTAAAAGCACATAAATTCTCAAACCCCAAAACAAAAAGGTAATTTTAAAAATTTAAATATCGAGAACCCCCTGGGAGGCCAAATTTGTGTGTCAAAATGGCTTCAAAATGTTTTAGACAGATTACTTGACCAAATTTTTTTTGGAAAAGCTTTGTCAGTGTGCAAAATGTTTCAAGTGTTTGCCTTTTTGGGCTTTAAACAAACAAATGCGTACCAAGGGGGAATTTTTTAGCATTTGCTTGGGAAAAATTCCCATTGATTGTACCCAAAAAAAAATAACCTAAATGTGTCCTCTGTAATGGGAAAAAATCATGTGTTTCTGTATTTTTCCTGAAAAAAAAAAGGAAATGCGAAAATTTTTTTTTTTTACGCCAAGAAACACCACTTCTAGAAAACCCTCCCCCGGCCCGCCAAACCCTGTCCAAAACTTCCCTTTCCCGCTTGCCTGGTCAAGTGGGATCCTCAGGTCTCTACCAAGGTTCCCAAGTTTGGAATTCTGCCCCCTTTTGGGGGCCCCCAAATTTAAAAACCCTTCCAACGAACCCAAAAACAGGGTTTAGTGCATCTCATATGTCTACGTTCCACGAGGGGATATAACGAGAGCAAATAATGTCTTGTTTGGGCCCAAAAAAAATACAGGGGGTGACATTAACTCTGCCCCAGGTTTTTTAAAAGATTGTTAATGGCTAAAAGGGGTCACTCCCCCACTTTCCTGAAAATGTGAAGGCTATTTGGGGCCACCCTTTTCTAACAAGAAGTATGTACCCTCTCTACATCTAAAAATAAGCCAAAATCCCTGGGCCCGGGGTCGCCTCCCCGCAACCAGGTTGTCAAAATCCTTCAAACCCCATAAGTCAACCCTGAAAATAAAAATGCCCCGAAAGTGGTGCCTACTCTCTCG